GGGAATGGGATGCTCTGAGAAGGAATGGGATGCTCTGGGAGGGAATGGGATGCTCTGGGAAGGAATGGGATGCACTGGGAGGGAATGGGATGTTCTGGGAAGGACCACAGCAGCTGATGTGAAGAGATGGGACACCTGCTGAGCTCATACCTGTTCCCTGCTCTGCTAGGATGAGCTGTGCTGGAGACAAGGGCAAGGCCAGGAGTGCAGCCAAATCTCTGAGCTCCTGTGCAGCCCCCAAGCAGCTCCTCTGCATCAGCTCCAGGAATTCAAGTCCCTGCGGCTGCTCCTAGCACAGCAGCACCATTCCAGCCTCTCCTGGACCTGTCCCAAGGAGCAGGTTTGTCACAGGGACACGGTGGGGACATCACTGGGGTCATGGGCTTTCCTGATTTTCTGTCCCAAGCCCCCAAGGATGAGGTCTCTGCTGCAGGCAGAGCTCGCTGCTTGTCCTTTATCCTTTAGGCTTTGCTGCCACCAGCTGGAATAGTTGATTTTCGTCATAAATTGGTTTCAAGGCTGATCTTTGCTCTCCCAGCCCGTGGTAGATTGGGTCTCCCACCACACACAGAGTTTATCCCCTGGACACAGTCCCAGCACATCAGATGGGATTGGGGTGTCAGCTGGGAGGATAAAACCTGCTGTTGGGGTGAGCAAGGGGAGGGGATGAGCTATGAAATTTAAAAGGATAACAAAAGAAGGGATATGGAGGTCTGAAAGGAGCTGGAAACTAAGCTCTTAAGATTGGGCTGGGATCTCCCACCGAAGCTGGACCTGACTGCAACCAGCTGGGAGAGCTGCTGGGATAACTGGGATGTCCTGGACTCCCCTGGGCTCCAAGGGCTGGCTCCAAGTCATGCTGGTTTCCCTTTAGGATGCACCTATGGAGAATCATGTTGCAGCACAACCTGAAGTTAATCTTTTTTTGAGTCTTATAAGATATTTAAATAATTTCCTTCCTGTCTGCCTTTCCACATCACCAGCCCAAACCTGCTCCCAGCAGTGAAAACAACACGGTCAGAGGACTCAGAAAACACCCAAGTCTGGGGGTTTCTGCCTTTAAAAAAAATAAGATTTTTGTTTCAGTTGCTGAGCTGAACCACAGGACAGGTCTTTTCCTCTCCTGCCACCCTGGATGGCTCCTGGGGCTCCTGTGCAGGAGCTGAACATGCAGAGCCACAGTGAGTCCAGGGCTGAGCGTGGGGTGGAGGATGCACCAGCACATCCTCAGCCACTCCAGACATTTGGACAGCACTGGCAGGAACTCAGCTGGAATTTCCCTCTGGAGGTTTTCCTTGCCCTTGTTCCTTGCATCAACTGCTCTTATCTACAATTTCAACAGATACAAATGAGATGAGACATGAGATGCATATTTTTCAGCATGGGGAAAAACTTCTCAAGCATCTTCAGGTCCAACTGATGATTGTTTTGTCTGGTGAGGGTGGGACAGAGCACAGCCAGCACATACCCCCAGCCCATGAGCTTGGAAAATAAGGCTGGAAATGACTTCAAGAAATCACCACGAGGCTTTATCTTCCTGTCAGCTGAGCTGCAGCAAAATGACTTTAATCCAAGTGTGTCAAGTTCCGTGTACTTAAACCCACGTCACTGCACTTCCGCAGCTGCAGCTGCCACACTCTGCCACCCTGTGCCAGCCTCAGCTGCTCCTGGGACAAGCTCAGGGCAAGGCCACAGCCTGGCAGCTCTCCAGAGGGTTTTCCAGGCACTCTCACAAGTGGCTGGGAAATGAAGCTCAGCAGTGAATTGGCAAACTAGTTAGTTAGGTGTGGAGTTTGTGTGCAGCCTGGGGAGGTTTGGGGTCAGGTTTTTGGCTGTGCCACACATTGATGCACTCACAGACCTGTGCAGGATTCATTTGTGGGGATGGAGCCTTCAGCCACCAGCCTGGAGGAATTCCTGACAGTGGGAGCTGAGGCTGAGCCAGGAGAAGTGTGGGTGTCTCTGAGCTAGAGAGTGAGGAGGAATGGGAGCAGCCCCATCTGCCCTGTGGAGGGGTGCCCTGAGCATCCTGCATCCCACCCTGTCCTACATTCCACATCCCACTCTGGAGCCTGTATCCCACCCTATCCTGCATCCAACCTCCTGCCCTGCATCCCATCCCAAATCCCACATCCTGCCCTGCATCCTGTTCTGCATCCCACATCCCGTCCTGCATCCCACCCTGTCCTACATTCCACATCCCATCCTGGAGCCTGTATCCCACCCTATCCTGCATCCAACCTCCTGCCCTGCATCCCATCCCAAATCCCACATCCTGCCCTGCATTCCACATCCCACTCTGAATCCTGTATCGCACCCTATCCTGCATCCAACCTCCTGCCCTTCATCCTGCATCCCATCCCGAATCTCACATCCCATCCTGTCCTACATTCCACATCCCATTCTGGAGCCTGTATCCCACTCTATCCTGCATCCAACATCCTGCCTTTCATCTTGCATCCCATCCTGCATCCCATATCCCACACTATCCTACATCTCACATCACATCCTGCATCCCACCCTGCATCCCACCCTGTGTAGCATCCCACATCCCTGACAGGGAGCCCAAACATGCACATCCCGATGGACAATGCTGTGTCCATGCACTGACCATGCTGGCATGGATAACCAGGGCTGGATGCAGACCCTGGACACGGATCCAGATCCAACTCTGCTTCCCACCTTTCTGCCCCGGCCAAACCGATGCTACTCCCTGCTCAGCCCCTTTTGCCTCTCCCAGCCTCATCCCCCGAGCCAGGGATGAGCTGCGGAGCCCAACACGCCTGGAGACGACTGCAACGCTGGGAATTTTTTTTTTTCTCGAGCAGGAAGCTGAAGCATTTCCTCCTCCAGCGCCGGCGCTGCTCGCCCAGCGGGTTTTGCAATCCGGAGGTTTCAGTTCCCGGGTTGGGGAGGTGCCTCTCGCAGCTTGTTTGTTCGGGAGGTTTTCCATCTGTCCGAGTGTTGCTGCCAGCCCCGGCAGGTCCCGTCCGGGTGGATTTTTGGCAGCGCTCGGTCCATGCCCAAACCTTCTCGTGGTGCTGCCGCCGAGGTAGGAGCTGCCGAGGAGAACGTGCTTGGCTGGAGTTTCTCCTTGCATTCCCAAGCAAGGAGGGAGGGATAAAGAATCTGGTGGTCGGTGTGTCCCCAAAACCGTTGGGTCTCCCTCCCCCAGCGGCGCTGCTGGAGATGCAGAGCACTCCCAACTACCTGTGGAGCACAGAGGACCTGCTGGGCCAGGGAGCCACGGCTTGTGTCTACAAAGCTCGAAACAAGGTGAGCAGGGAGGGCAGAAACCCAAAGCCACAGGTTCTCCATCCCCCCATCCCTCCATCCCTCTGTCCCTCCATCTCCCCATCCCTCTGTCCCTCCATCCCTCCATCCCCCCATCCCTCTATCCCTCCATCCCCCATCCCTCCATCCCTCTGCGCTCCCCTCTGCTTGCCCTCCCCGGCTAGGGAGCAGCCCCAGGGCTGCTTCGAGTTTTATTTTCATTTTCCATGGGGCTCCTTCCCCCTGGCTCTGGAGGTTGAGGATGGTTTTGGGGGACTCACAACCAGCTCCTCCTGGCTGGCTGTCGAATTCCCCAGCAGCGCAGAGGGAAGAAGCAGTTTCCAGGGGAATGCCCAGAAGTTTTGGAAACCCCATCCCTGGCGATTTGCATACTTCATGCAAACACTTGCCAGGCTTGGAGCAGCTTCTCCTCCTCCTCCTCGTTGGCCTTTTGAAGTTTATTGAGCAAACTGCAGGAGTGGAGGCTGCAAGAGTGGGTTGAAAACATCCCCGTCCTGCCTCGGCTCGGGCTGGGAATGTTTTGTGGAGCTGAATAAACACCCTGCCATGCAGCACGTGGGTGCAAAGGGAGGTGAAGGACAGCACTTTGCTCATGCAGTGGAGCAAACATTGTCAAGTCAGTGTCGTTTGTATCCCGAGCAGGATGTGGGAGCTGTAACGGAGCTCATGGAGCTGCTTTGGATGTGAGTGGCATCACCTCCTGTTTCCTTCTTCTCCTGTTCCTCTTTCCCCAGAAATCAGGGGAGCTGGTTGCTGTGAAGGTCTTTAACAATGCCAGCTACCTCCGGCCCCAGGAGGTGCAGATGAGAGAGTTCGAGATGCTGAGGAAGCTGAACCATAAAAACATTGTCAAGTTATTTGCTGTGGAGGAGACAGTAAGTGGCACTTCAGCTGGGAATCCCTCAGCTGGGAATCTCTCAGCTGGGAATCCCATTGGGCCAGTGCCATGGGGAAACTGGTCTGGACTGCAGGAGGAGAGCTGTGGTCCTGGACTGCCATCTCCTCCCACCACCCTCTGTCTCAGCCCAGTCCTTCAGCACTGGGAGCACTGGGTCACTGGGCTGGAGGATGGATGTGAACTGATGTTCTCCAGCACTGGTTTGGCCAAGCAGGAGATACCCAGGGACCCACCAACCGAGGGAGGGGACGTGGTCCTGCCTGGGTGGGGAACAGGCCCATGGCTGGAACGTGGGCCCAGCTGAGCCCTCGGTGTCTCCCCACCCCAGGGCAGCAGCAAGCAGAAGGTGCTGGTGATGGAGTACTGCTCCAGTGGCAGCTTGCTGAACGTGCTGGAAGACCCAGCAAACGCCTTTGGCTTGGCTGAGTCCGAGTTCCTCATCGTGCTGCAGTGTGTGGGTGAGTGTGGAGGCCACAGCTTGGGCTGGAGACCTTGTGATGCTGGTGGGACCCTGCAGACACCAGCCCTGGGCTATGGAATGAGGGGTCAGAAGTTGCACCTCCAAATGGGGTTGATTTGAGCTGTGTCCAGGCTCTGAGGGTCTCTCCTTGCAGAGCTGCTCTGGGAACAAGCTGTTCCCCACAATGAGGAGCATGAGGACAATGCCCTACCATGTGCTCACTCATCCTCTCCTTCCCCCCAGTCACATTTGTCCCCATTTAAGTGCAACCACTTTGGGCTTGGTCCCTTCTCCAGCCCTTCTCACCTTCCTGAATTTACACTAACCCTGTTGGAGTGCTCCAGCCCCAGACACAAACTCTGCTTCCCTTGTGCCCAGTGGCAGGGATGAACCACCTCCGTGAGAACGGCGTTGTCCACAGAGACATCAAACCTGGCAACATCATGAGGCTGATGGGAGAAGATGGGCAGAGCATCTATAAGCTAACAGATTTTGGGGCCGCCCGAGAGCTGGAGGACGATGAAAAGTTTGTGTCAGTCTATGGGACGGAGGAATATCTCGTGAGTAGAGAATGTCTCAGTCTGGTGACCCCTGGGGGAAACTGGTCCCTTTCCCTCCACCCAACAGCTTGTAGGGAGCAGCAGTGACTTGGAGGGGTTGACCTCAACACATCCACATTTTTGGAAGAGGAGAGGCTCAGCCGTTCTGTTGTAGAGTTAGAGGTGATGGTTCTTGGGGAGGCTCCAGCAGCAGAAGAGACCAGTGGAGCAGTCAATTCTCCATCCCTTGGTGCCCTCTGCCAACCAACCCCCTGGGCAGGCTGGCAGTGCTGCTGTGCTTGCCCCCACAGCACCCTGACATGTACGAGCGAGCCGTCCTGCGCAAGCCGCAGCAGAAATCCTACGGCGTCACCGTCGACCTCTGGAGCATTGGGGTCACCTTCTACCATGCTGCCACGGGCAGCCTCCCCTTCCTGCCCTTCGGGGGGCCCCGACGGAACAAGGAGGTCATGTAGGTACCTCCTCCAGCTGCTGGGGTGGGGTGGCACCAGGGCTGCTGGTCCAGGGGCTGCAGAACATTCTTGGCTGTGGTTTGGTGTGTTCCCAAGGCTCCCTGTGTTGTTTGATCCCATGTGGATCTCAAAGCCTTGACATGTGGAGAGTGTTTGTTGTGTGGGAAGGAATCTGTGCCCCATTTGCCATGTTTTCCCTTCACCTGGGATGGTTGGATGGAGCCCTGAGCAACCTGTGAGTGACATCCCTGCCCATGAGATGATCTTTAAGATCTCTTCCAACCCAAACCATTCCATGGTTCTGTTCCTCTATAAAATGCATTCCCGTGACTTTACAGCTAAACAGCTGGAAGAGGAGGGAGGGATAATGCTTGCTTGGAAGCTTTTTGATTGTTTCTTGAAGTATTTTTCCTCTGTGCTTTTTTTTTCTTCTCCTCTCCGTGAATCGTGACTTTCCCAGTCCATCTGTGCTCTGCCCTTTCCCTCTCCCCAAGGGGCACAAACAGAGCTCACTTGGCTCATTTCAGCAGCAAGCAATTCTCTTTCCACAGGTACAAAATCACCACTGAGAAGCCTCCTGGAGCCATTGCAGGGGTGCAGAGGCAGGAGAATGGGAACATTGAGTGGAGCTATGAACTGCCCATCACCTGTCGCCTCTCCACGTGAGTGTCCATGCCAAGATGAGCTCCCACTGCATCTCCCACGTCCTGGCACCACCTCAGACAGCACAGGGGGGTTAGTGAGGCAGATGTCACAGCTCTCAGAGCAAGTCTTTGCTTTGCAGCCAGGAAAAAAGGGGTGCAAGGCAGGGCAGTGACTCTCAGTGCAGGAGCTCCTGCCCTTGGGGTCACCATGTTCATGGCTCAGAGTTACACCAATCTGTGCTGACATCCTCCTCTTCTTGTTGCAGGGGGCTGAAGGACCAGCTGATCCCCATTTTGGCTAACATCCTGGAGGCAGATCAGGAGAAATGTTGGGGGTTTGACCAGTTTTTTGCAGGCACCAACGACATTTTGCACAGGATCGTGGTCGACGTGTTCTCCCTGCAGCAAGCTTCCTCCCATCGCATCTACATCCACTCCTACAACACGTAAGGAGGCCAAGCCTGGGTTAAAAGCACCTTTGGGAGTCAAGATCAGGAGCCTCAGCCTCTGCTTTCCATGGGGGAACCTGAGGGCAGCCCAGGTGAAACCAAACAGAGCTCAAAACAGCCTCTGCTGGGAGCACTCTCAGTGGGAGCTGTGAGAACACACAGAGCTCTGGGGAGGTGTCCAAGGAGCTTCACTGACCCTGTGGGATAATTTGCTAAGAGCAAATATAAAATTGTGGTATTTTGAGGGCAGTGGGTTGTTAAAGTGCTGGAATTTGTCTCCATCCTTCCCTTTCTTTTCTTTTTCAGTACCACCAAATTTTTAGACGCTGTCTTCAAACAAACAAACATAGTCCCTCACCACCAAGAATACTTTTTTGAAGGACACCTGTATGAGTTGGATCCTAACCTACAAGCTCATCATTTCTGCAAAACCACCGAGTGCAGCCCCCTGACCTTGCTGAGCACCTCTGAGCAACCCGAGGACGTGGTAGGGGTTCGATACAGAGACCGTGAGTACCTTGGGCTGGGAGAGGATTCCTGGCACGAGGGTGGGGATTGTAAAAGGGATTTACTCCAGTTGTTAAGCTAAGAGATTTCCCATTCCCCACCTGGGTAATGGGCCTGTTTCCTGGATGATCCCAGGTCTTGGTGCCTGGGCAATGTTGGACCCAGATCCCAGTTCCTGGAGCAGTGCCAGTTGGTGGTGCTCCCCTTTCCCACTACTCCCAGTAGTGACCCCAGTTCCCAGCAGTGGGGAGTGCCAGTTCCCAGTCCTGTTTCTGCTCCCTGGTGCAGGGCAGGAGATGAAGGTTAAGATTAGGATCTTCAGGGTCACTTTTCCCCTGCCATGTGCTCCGTGGTTTGACCACCACCCTGGGCTCTGCAGGCAATTCCTTCCAAAACATCTTGGAGGGTTCCACTTAGCCTCCAGCAGCTCCTGAGCAGCTGTGGGCTTTGCTTGGTGGGTATGAGATATCCCTGTGGGGCACAGCATCTCCTGCCTCCCTCCCCAGAGCACCCTGACTGCTGTCTGTCTTTCCAGCCGCCCTTGAGTTCCCCAAGTTTGTCCCCAAGGTGGGCGTGGTGGCTGACTGCAGTGCAGCCAAGGTAGGTGGGGGTTCCTGGGGCCTGGGGCAGCCCCGTGGGGCAGGTGAGGCAGTGCCCTTTGCCTTGCAGAGCGCGGTGGGTGCTGTGCACCAGACCCTGCGCATCGCCCGGGCCCTGCGGCGCGGCCGGGAGCTGCTGGCCAGAGGTCTCCACTGGGTGATGTGAGTGACAGACACCATGGCATGGCTAGGGTGGGTGCAGGGAGGGACATATCCCTTCCCAGCATGGGGAGATTTGGGTGTTGAGTTGAACCTCTTAGAGTTTTCCAGCCTTTTCCCATCAGTTCAGGAGCAGTGGGGCTGGTGGGATGGGGTTTGGGGTGCTGGGGGGGAGCAGAGCATGATGATGTGTGTGCCCACACTGAGGCTGTGAGGAGGCTGCACCTGTAGGAGAATACCCTGCAGTGTTGGGAGGATGCTCCTGGCTCCATTTGTTACTTTTGGGTCACTTCTTTTAGTTTGGGAGAAGCTGAGGAAAACAGAATCATTGTTATCATCATCCTAATCATTGGTATCATCATCTTCATCATTGGTATCATCATCTTCATCATGGGTATCATCATCTTCATCATGGGTATCATCATCCTCATCATTGGTATCATCATCCTCATCATTGTTATCATTGTTATTTTCATCATCATCATCATCATTATTGCCATAATCCTTGTGCATATCACTGTGCATCTAATGAGAAGTATCCCTACCCATGGCAGGTGGTTGGAATGAGATGAGCTTTAAGATCCCTTCCAACCCAAACCATTCCATGATTCCATGATGATTTTCACTGTCCTCAAGGGCAGGAGCCTCTTGTGCAGAGGCAGGAGAGTGTGTAGGGGTGAGAGCCTCCAAACCCAGGAGCTACACTCACTTTTAGGTGCATCCAGCCCCTTTTTTTCTCACAAGCAATCAGGGAGAAGCTCCATCCTAAGCCCTCACCAGCACACAGCTGGGGCTGGGGTGGAGGTTGGGATTCCAGGGAGCACAGGTTGGACAGGCTGTTTTCTCTCTTGGCAGTGGGAACCTGAAGACAGAGTGCTCAAGGATTCTGGAGCAGAGGAGAGGAGCTCTCTCCGTGCTCTCCTGCCTGCAGCTCACTGAGATGAAGATCCGTGTGCTGTAAGTGTGGCTCTGCAGGCTCTGGGCTGGGGCAGATAAAATGTGAGACTCTCAAATAATCAGAAATAAGGCAAATCCCAGGAATAAGCTGAAAACTGAGAGGTAGGAACCCATTTTATCTAAAGCAGCCCCTGGATAATTTTTCCTTTTTCTGTTTCATTGTAGTGGAAAATTCCTTGTCGCTGCTGGGTTGCTGTTCTTTTATTCTTTGCCATTTAGCAAGTCTTAATTTCCATTTCATCTGGGGAAAAAAAAAAAGAGAAAAAAATAGGGACACATGGCTCCCATTGAGTTCAACCAGATTAGTGCAGGGCTGGAGTGCCAAGAGCAGTAATGCTGCAGCTGGATGCTCTGGCTCATCCATCCCTCCCAACACACTCTGGGTCAGGAATATTTCTGCTGACTTAGCCAGTGTGTCTCACCCATCCCACTGCTCCTGTGCCAGCTGCAGGGAGGCACAGAGCATCTGAGCTGGCCTAAAGCCAGTGGCTGTGAAACTACCAATTTTGGAACAAATTGGACACAATTGGGGGGAGGTTTTTTTACCAGATCAGCACTTTGCATCTCGTGGCTCAGATCTGGTACCCTGAAAACTGAGTTGTTGCCTGAGGAAACCATCTCTGAGCTCCCCAGGAAGCTGATGCTGCCTTCACCAGGGCATGGATTCTCCTTGCTGCTTATGTTCTGATCAAGGAAAATCCATTTTCTGCCTTTCCCCAGGTATGAGGCTGTTCCTGCAGGCAGTGCAGTGCCAGCTGTGATGGACCTGGCCATGGTGAAGACAAGGCTGCAGAGGGTGAGTCCCCCCAGGTCGAGGAGCATCCATGGAATTCAGAGCTGTTGGTCCCAACCTTCTCCTCTTCATCCATGGCATTCAGAGCTGCTGGTCCCAACCTTCTCCTCTTCATCCATGGCATTCAGAGCTGCTGGTCCCAACCTTCTCCTCTTCATCCATGGCATTCAGAGCTGCTGGTCCCAACCTTCTCCTCTTCATCCATGGCATTCAGAGCTGCTGGTCCCAACCTTCTCCTCTTCATCCATGGGATTCAGAGCTGCTGGTTCCAACCTTCTCCTCCTCCTCCTCCACAGGTCTCTGAGGAGCTCTCTCAGTGCTCCCACAACATCTTTGACTTCCTCCAACCTTCTCCTCCTCCTCCTCCACAGGTCTCTGAGGAGCTCTCTCAGTGCTCCCACAACATCTTTGACTTCCAAGGGGCACTGGACAGCATTTTGTCTGAGCTGGTGAAGGACAGACAGCAAGTGCATGAGGACAAAAGGTTCGTGCTGGAATTCCCTGGTGACACTTTGCTGTTCCTGGATGGATGGAGCAACTTCACTGCATGATCCATGCAGAGTCCTAACCCAGTGTGATGCTGTGTGATGTCTCTGCACACAGACACAGGGAGCAGCAGAGTCCCTGAGTTACAGCATGGTCAGACTTTACCCTAAAGGGCTAATTTCCCCTGCCCAACCTCACATCTTTCCTCTTGTGGGACCTCACAGCTCCTTCCCTGTCCCATTCCAGCCTCAGGCAGATCGAGTGCTGCCTGGAGAAGATGCAGCTGATCTACAAGCAGTTCAAGAAGGCCAGGACATGTCTAAGTGAGTGATGAGCACAGGGGACACAAGGTGTGGGCCTGCCACAGGAATGTCCCTGTGCTGCCCCAGTGGAAAAATGGATTATTTCAGTTGGCTGTGTTGATTCCATAGAACCATTGAATCATGGAATGGTTTGGGCTGGAAGGGAACTTAGAGATCATCTGTTTCTGTGTCATGATAATCATCCCAGGGGCTGAGCCATGAAAAGCCCCTTGGGCAATCTGTGTGTGTGTGTTGTGAAATTGCCCATTTATTGGGCTCTGAACAGGAAAATGTGGTGACAGTGTCTTTCCTCCCCAGGGCTGGGCTACAACGAGGAACAAATACACAAGTTGGATAAGTGAGTGCCAACCCTCTCCCCTTTCCAGGACCTGCCCCTTGCTGTGCCCAGCCTGGAGTTTGGTGGTTCTGGTTGAATCCTAAGAGATGTAAAACGTTCTCATGTCACTGATGTGGGCAGAGGGCACCTCTAAGTAGTTCCTGTGCTGGTTCATCCACCTTTCACAGCAAAGTTTCCAAGCTAAAAGCTCTTTGAGATGAAGCTGTGGGTGAAGCTCTGCAGAGGGGGTACAGGGCCAAATTCCTTCATCGAAGGAAATTTTTCATACATTTAAGGAAATAAGAGTATTCTCTCTTTATTTTTTTTTTCCTCTTGGTTTTAGGGTGAATTTAGGCCACCTGGCCAGGAAGGTTCTGTTAATTTTCCAGGATGATTGTGTCCAGCAGTACCAGGAAGCTCTGAGCATCCACAGCAGCAGGATGAGGTACCAGCTCTCTCCAGGGGTTTGGGGCTCTGCTTTTGAGATCCTGGTATGGATGGGAGAGGGAGCTCTCCAGTAACCCCCCAAAGACCAGAACTTCCCAGTGCTCTGTGCTATGGATTGAGTGCTGGGATGGGGATGGAGATGATGATGTTGAGAACTATTGAGGGACTGTAAAGGAGTAACAAGCCCTCAAAGCTCCATCTCTGGTTGCCTGCTGGAATTCCCACTGTGTGGGCTCTCTTATCCCATGCCATGTATTTCTGCCCTGGTATTTCAAGTTTCTGTTGAAGAAAAAATCCCCTAAACTTGCAGCTTGTGTCCAGGCAGCTGTTTCCTCCCTCTCTGGTGAGGAGAGGTGATTCTATCAGGACAAAACTGCCTTGGAGACAAAGAGATCTACTTACTGGGAGTGATTTTCTGTCAAATGGTGCTTGGGGAATAATGCAAAGAACAAATTGCCCTGCGGTGATTGAGAGCAATCCACTGCCTGTGGCAGCAGCTAAGAGCAGGGATGGGGAGGCAGTCGGGAAGAGGATGTGGCAAAAACTGGATTTTCACTGCTTTTAGAGAGGAGCATCACTCCCCTGGGCTGCCAGGGTGGGGGGAAGGAGGAGAAGTTCCTGGAACGCCTTGGAATTAAACCCAACTTTTGGTCTGGTCCTGTTTCAGATGGGGAGTAGCCTCGTTTGGGAATTACTAGCGGGGGGATTTTTAGGCTGGAAGTTTTGTGCTCAGGAATGCTCCAGGGGATGTGAGCAGTGTCTGCCCTGTGCCAGTCCTCTCCTAGTCCTCTCCCTGCCTTCTCCCAGCCTCTCCCTGTCTTTTCTCAGCCTCTCCCTGCCTTTTCCCAGCCTTTCCCTGCCTTTTCCCCTTCCCACCCCCACCTTGTGCCACTCTGAGTTTCCACACTGCAAACCTTCACCCACAGGCAGGTTTCGTTTCCCTGTCCCAGCCTTTCCCTGCCTTTTCCCCTTCCCACCCCCACCTTGTGCCACTCTGAGTTTCCACACTGCAAACCTTCACCCACAGGCAGGTTTCCCTTTGAGGACAGGAGCTGTGTCCCAGGTCCCTCCCCAGCCACATCCCATCATGGAACAGTGAAATCTCCCTTGGCTTCCCTGGGAATTTTGTCTTGGGGTGCCTGAGATTCCTCTGGGTGTGGAGCTCCATGCTTCCCACCCCCACCTTGTGCCACTCTGAGTTTCCACACTGCAAACCTTCACCCACAGGCAGGTTTCCCTTTGAGGACAGGAGCTGTGTCCCAGGTCCCTCCCCAGCCACATCCCATCATGGAACAGTGAAATCTCCCTTGGCTTCCCTGGGAATTTTGTCTTGGGGTGCCTGAGATTCCTCTGGGTGTGGAGCTCCATGAAATCCAGGCATATAAGAGGCCCCATCTGCTCACAGGGAACAAAAAAAACAACCTTTTGCCTGTTTTCCTGAAGTATTTTTGTATTTGTTTTTCTGTCCTGAGGAAGAAAACATCATGAGTCACAACTGGATATTTTTGATTGATTGTTACTTCAGTTTTAATTGGGTTGTTTCCTGCCAGGCTTCGTGGGGTGGTGGCTAGTTGGGTTTTTTTTTGGAGGACTGGAGGTGGATCATTCACCTGAAATATTCTTTGCTTAGTTTATATTTAAAGCCAAAGCAAACATGGTTTTATACAACTCCTGATGTGCTCACTGGGGTGAGGTGCAGGACCAAGGAGCCTTTCTGGGGAGATTCTCAGCCCTCCACAGGACACAGAGGACTGGCAGAAGTGATGGGCTGAGCTGTTTCTCTTACAAGCAACACTTTCCCTAATTAATTTGCTGTTAGTGTTGTTTGGATAACCTGGGAACAGTGGCTGTTAGCAGAGCTGCAGCTGTAATGACAACACTGTTTGCTTTCCATCAGGATTTTCACTTGCATCCAGGAAGGTTTGCAGAAAGCAGCTTAGAATTCAAACACATCCAAAAATTCACCATCCACGCTGATGGCAAACATTCACTGGGAATTCTCTTGTTGGTTTTTCTTTCTAGGAAAGTTTGTGAGATAAAGAGGCACCTGAAGAGGCTCAGCAATCGCATCAGTTCGTGCAGTGTGGAGATGATGGAGTGCCAGGACTGTCTGCAGGGTGTAGGTGTCCATGGGATGCAGCTCCCTGATAATGCTCCTGCTCCCCTCTCCCAGCTCCTGGCAGGGGCCTGAGCACCTGGGTTAAGTAGAGGAAACCCTGGAGTGTGTTTGAACACCTTGCTGCAGTTCTCTGTGGGTGATCCAGCTGGTTTGTTGAGCAGGGAATGGATAAACCATTGGCAGTGGCACCTCTGGTCCCAAGGAGTGCCTGGCACAGAGGATCTGTACCCAGCAAATGGGAGTTGAAGTAGGAGGAAAGTGATGCTTCACCTCCAGCTCCCCTGATAAACTGGCTGATGAGCTGGAGGACAACCTGCTGGGAGGTGTCCTGCTCCTTTGGTTTTGCTGTTGGATGTGCTGGATGTGATTCCATAGGTGTCATTTCCCAAGTGTTTATCCCCAGGGTAGGCACTGTAGCCCCCAGGGTCAGATGCCCCAAACTGCTGCAGGGCTCCCAAGTCTCTCCATCTCCACAGGCTCTGGACAGGTTTCTCCAGCTGGAGAAATGGAGTTTGGCCCCAGTTCCTCCTGCTCCTTCCCCCATCCAGGCATGCCAGGAGATGGCTTTTGGGTGAGTCTTTTGGAAGAGGGTTTTGGGGACAGCCCAGCACCCCTGGGAGAGGCAGAACCTCCTGTGGCTCATCCTCTGCACGTTGGGGTGAGGACTCTGCCCACAGGGCTGGGACAGTCTGTGTTCAGCCTTCCTGTGACCCTGCTGGGTGTGATCCCTATCAAACTCACGGGACACCCCAGCCCTTCAACAGGAGGTGTTCCCATGGGAAGCAGGGCATGAGCAGCACAGGGGTAAGAGGTTGGTTGTGTCCCTGCAGGATGCAGGAGCTGCTGGAGCAGATGAGGTCAGTAACTTGTCATCTCCAGTTCAACAACAGCGTCATTGAGCGGTGAGTAAGAGCACATAGAGATGCTGCTCCAGGCAGTGATTCCTGCTCCTTCCAGCAGGCACATTGCCCTGGGAGGGGGTGCTGGGTCTGGGTGGGCTCAACTCAGGCATGGGGAGCTGTGCCTGGTGCTGAGCACAACCACAGCTACTCATGGGGTGGTTCCCATGGGGGTTTTAACTGCACCAAGTTTCCTTCGTGGTGTGGCAGCACAAGAGTTTTACCTTTCTTGGAAGTTTAAGCATGAACTTCTGCAAATGCTATGTCATTTCTACACCCTCTTTCCAGCTTTTTCCCTGTGCTGCTCAGTGCTGGCAGCTGCTGTCTGCCATGGGGAAGTAGATACTTTCCCTTTCCAGGTGAAACTCTGTGCAAGCTCAGTATCCAAAATAATTTCTTCCTCTGCAACCTTGTTCTGAGGCTCTTAATGCAAATCAGCAAGAGGAATATGCAGAGCAGGATGTCAAAGAGGTGTAGAAGGGAAAAGGAATCAGGGATTCACCCTAGCCCTGATTTTATAGGACCAAGTGTGTTGTTGCAGCACATCCACTGGGAGTAAGAGGCTGGGAAAGGTTGGGTTTGCTTTCAATGTGAAGAGTTTATCCCAAAAGACACAGGAACAAGCCCAAAGATTAGATCCCAACTCAAACTGTCGTTTGGGACTGGTGAGCCCAGGGGACCTCGAGCCTAAAGCCTTTGGTTTTGTCCCTGCAGGTCAGGGGGAGCTGCCCCCACTCCTGGTGTTTGAGGGACGTGGTGAATGTGCAGCTGCTGAAGCAAAACCACTTCCCACCCCAGGGAACTCACAGCACTTGAGGTCCAGAGCGACAGAGCCATCAGACAGTGGTGTTGGAGGAGCTCTCTGTGTCCTACCTCTCTGCTCCTGCACTTTGGCATGTTCACCAGCATTAGCTCCAAGTGCCTTGAGCCTTTGGAAGTTTGACCAGAAAACTGAGTGGGGATTTTATTTTTTCTTTGTTTTAAAAAGCCTGAAGGACTCTGTGGTTTTCTGCCTTCTCTGTAGCACTGTGTCAGATGAGGAAGAGGCTACACAGATGAATTCCCTTTGTCCTCTTACTTATTTAGGGATTATTTCCACTTCTAACGTATTTCTGCTCCCTGAGGCTTCGTGGAGCAGGGAAGAGCCTGGAGCAGGAGGTTTAAGAAGTGTTGGGCTTCATTCCTGTCCCCTGCACCAAGTCCTTCCCTCTGTGTGTGCCTGGTTACTCCAGTGTGCAGCTGGGACTGGTTGCTGGAGCAGGCACCAGGGATCCAGGACTTTGGGAGCACTGGCACCAGCAAAGTCCAAAGGCAAAGGACTTGCTGCAGCTCCCAGGGACTGATTTTCACCTGGAAGGAGAGGTTGGGCTATCACCTGAGCAAGCAAACGTGTCTGAGTCAGAGTGGGGATGCTCAGAGTGCCTGCTGGGACCTGTCCCTCCAGAGAAAACACAACTCAGCCCTTCACCTTTCCTCCAGTTTCCTCCCCAGCACCTTTGCTGGAGCTGACACCAGGGAGTTAAACCAAGAGCTGAGCCTGATGTGGCTGTTCTGGGGTTGTCCCCAGCCCCTGAGAACAAGGACTCAGCTTCTCTGGCAGTGCCCAGGGCAGAGCCACAGCAAGGACAGGGCAAGGAGCTGCCATGGATGCTCCTGGGATGGACCACGGCAGCAAATCTTTCTAACCTCTGTTGGGAGACGTAGAATCCAAGACTGATTTGGGTTGGAAGGACCTTAAAGATCATCCCATCCCTCCCCTGCCATGGGCAGGGACACCTTCCACCAACACAGATTGCTCCCACATCCAACCTGGCCTGGAACACTCCCAGGGATGGAGCAGCTTCTCTGGACAATCTGTGCCAGTGTCTCAGCACTCACAGGGGAGAATTCCTTCCTAATTCCTCATAAGGGGATGTAAGGCAAATAGTGCATCCCTGGAGCTGCACATCTTGCTGCCCTGAGCCTCAGGAAGGGGCAAAGGGCCCGAGGAGCAGCAGCTGCAGGATTGTGCCTGGCTTGACTTTCTTGTAAGAACATGCCAAGGGTGCCTGGGAGCTCCCCCCGCCCAGGAAACCTTCCCAAGTGGAATTTGGCACCAAACCTTCCCATTCATTTTCCTTAGAAGAGCCAACATCCTGAGTGTCAAACCCAACTATTTACTGTGGAGAGGTGGAACTAAGCCATGGCTTAAAAGCTTTTTCTCCTGCAAATTATTTTTCTAGGATTCTCCTAGTTTTCTAACGAATGTTATTTTGAATCCAGCTTGAATTCACTGCTATTCCCTGTAGGAACAGGGCAGGGAGCCCAGGCAGGGTCTCCTGGTGCAGGTCCTTGGATTCAGTGGAGCTGTGCTGACTCGCACCAGCTGAGCATTTGACCTGGAACATGTTTGGCTTCAACAGAAAGGGATTTATTTCTTGGCAAAAACAAAAAGGAGTTGTTGCTAATAGCCCTTGTCATGCTTAAACTGCTGTAACACAGCAGCTGCAAAGGGGACTCCTGGAATCCAAATGAAACAGGAATTTTCCTGCCAATGTTAATTAGTTGAGGGGTTTTTTTTACCCCCCAAATATTTTAACCCATGGCCTAAAAAAATCTTCCTGTGCTGTCAGCTCAAAATACCTGCAGAGACAACGACTATGACATGTCTCCTGTGCAGGTTTGAGCCAGAGCTTCCTATGGGGATGGAAAATATTATATTTATTCAGTAGTTTTATGCCCTAATGCTGCAGAATGGAGAATGAAACTGTGCCCTGGAATGGCACTGGGAAAACAAATGTCCAGAATGGCTTTAGCAGGTTCCCAGGCAGGTGCCCTCAGGTCATTTCTTGCAGATGATTCCTGATATGATTAACATGGGGAGAACATAGGATAAACCACCAAGGTTTTGTGAACCAGTTTACTGATGAATTAATCTGCTGCTGTTCTCAGAAGCAGAGGAGGCATGAAAGTGAATCAGGATCCTGAATGGGGAAGAAAAAGACCTTCCAAAAATTAATCTTGCTACTTAGCACAGAAAAAAAACCTCTAGAATTTTCCAAGCTGCATTATTCCTCCTTTGGTTTGAAGCTCTTATTAGGAACTGCTTATGGCACTAGTCTGCTGTAATTCAGAGCCAGTGTTTTAATCCATCCTTCAAATTAGAATCCTTGAAATGGATTTAGATATCCTTGGCTTATCCTGTCCTCAGGAGTCCAGGAGAGGCAGCAGTTCAGCTTCCCATGAGTACAGGAGGCAGAGTTCACCCAGCCCAGCTCTGCCCTGGCTGCTCTCACAGAAACCAAACAAACTGGGGGACAATTCTGAGTTGGGATTTCAAAGCAGATCGAGTGCAGCAGAGCAGGGCCAGTCGTGTCCTGTGTGACTCAGGGTGAGGTGTCACCCTCCCTGGGCTCCATCCAGGCACAGGGAAGGGGCAGTTGCTCTTCCAGCCAGCAGGAAAGGGTGGCAGAGACCTTCCCATCGCCTGTGCTATCCCAGCCCTCAAAGGAGGGAGTCACTGCACAGCGTCCTGTCACCCCAATCTGTGCCCCCAAAGCCTCCTGTGCCCAGGGTGGGGATGTGCCAGCAGCTCCCCAGGCACCAGTGTCCTTCAGACTGGAGCCAATTCAAAATTAGGGCACGGGATTTTCCCTTTCACCTATCCCACAACCGCAGGAGCCTCAGCTGGGGGGAGAGAATTCCTTCAGCTCTCAGTGCTTGCATCCCCCCAGAGCCTGTCCCTGCAGAGAGGGGGTTCGTTCCACACAGCCTGTGCCAGTGCGGTGCCCCGGGAAAAGTGGGATGGGGTTGGGAAAAGCCCCAGGACTGCAGGACCCACCCGCGGGGGGAGATGTCAGAGCCCGTGGGGATCGCGAGCCCACGGGAGTGAGGATTCCCACGGGGCGGGGAGGAAAACCCCGCGGTGGGGAGATTTCCCATGAAGAAGGATCCTCGGGGGGGTCCC